AAAAGCTTGTAATAAAAGTAAGCAAAACGTGAATTGCTGTACTTGATATTGTTCTAAAGTTACTGAAAATATATACTAAACTATACAACATTATAACTTGCTTTCTACTAAACCAGGCCTACGGCAAAAAAAAAAAAAACAACATACGTGACAAAAGTGGATTGCTGTTCAAAATATTTTATAGTATTTTTACTTATTGTTATAAACCATAATGCTTTTTAACATGTATGATTATGCTATCAAAAACATCTATAACAACACCCAACGTAATAAATACCCAAAATTTTACAATTCTCTACAATTAAAATCAAAATATTTCTTATAAGGTTTTTGTGACTTTTTTCTGTGACTTTTTTCCTAGCAAAACTTGTGACTTTTTCCCATTTTTTTTTCTGTTACTTTTTTTCCGTTCACCTCTCTCCCCACCCAATCTATGATGTCCAAAACTGTTAGTCCATCTCTAAGTACTCAAGTTACGTTCAATTACTCTGTTTTCACACACCATAGTTGTCTTGGGAAATGACTCTATCCACACACTAGTTCACTAAGTAGCTGACTATCCACACACTAGTTCTTTAAGTAACTGATTCTATCCACACACTAGTTCTTTAAGTAACTGGCTATCCACACACTAATTCTCTAGGTAACTGACTATCCACACACTAATTCTCTAGGTAGCTGACTATCCACACACTAATTCTCTAGGAAACTCACTCTATCCACACACTAGTTGTCTTGGCTCATCAGAAATGAAGTTTCAAATGTTTGTTACTAAACTTAAAACTGCCTAGTAAATTATAAAAAATAATATTAATTATAATTATAACAACTTTAATGGACCTAAGCATATATGGTGTTTATGTGGTGAGTATTTTGATCAGCCTCTTCGCCATCCCAGACTTGAAAGGATTGAGAGACGCTAGGCCGGAGAGCGAAATGAAGATATTTGTACTTATCGACCGGACAGCCCTTTCAAACAACCACGATCACATTCATCTCATCATTCTCTAACCAAGAAAAGAACTGTAAGAAAAACATCATCTCAGCACTGTAACCTTTTATTTATGAAACTTTAATTTAGATAAAGCGTGTGACAATTTTTTTTATAACAAGTAACACGTGATATTTATTTGGTGTTTGGTGTGTGTTGGCTGTTTTCTGTCGAGTAAGGTAAGAGGATGGCCAAAAACGTTGTCTTGAAATTTTTAGACTAACACAAAATTAAAGATAAAACAATCAATTTAACAGATACGCAAAAGTTTACTTTCGTTCATCTAAACCTTCAGTGCCTTTTTTGCATATTCCTGTCCGCTTTTCACCGGGTCTGAAAGAAAGAAAAACAAATTACACAATTTTTGTAAGTATAGCTTTAAGTTTCGTTACATCGTTTCAGGGACTTATGACTTGGTAGAATATTTACAATACTGACTTAGAATCTCGTTCAGCCTGTTTATGTTATCGACAATTTATTTACATGGATCAATAATATTATATAGTGGAATCTATAAAATGATGTAAACATTAGCATGCTCACAAACCTTATTCTGCCTTCATGAGGAGGGAATCTACGAGGAAATAGACATGAAATAAATTTAGTTTTCCATTGTTCTTATTAAACGTAGTGAATTTAGGGTAATTACAAATTACATTTTTTTTATTATGTACTTGTTGATTACTATAATTATCAAAATGTGATATATATATATATATATATATATATATATATATATATATATATATATATATATATATATATATATATATTTATATATATATATATATATATATATATATATATATATATATATATATATATATATATATATATATATATATCACTAATCACACTACAAAAATATGTCCAAATATGTTGGTTTACGTTGCCAAGTGACAACATTTCCTCTACTTTACCTGCAATACAACCCGTTACAACACGGCATGAAAGTAATATGCTGGAAGTTGCATTCATGATCTTCTTTGGCACACGTCGCACCGGGTGGCAAGGTGCTAGATAATAGAGTAGTTCAACTTTGATATTGTAGTAAAGTTAGATCATAGAGTATTTCAAAGTTGATATTGTAGTAAAGTTAGGTCATAGAGTAGTTCAAATTTGATATTGTAGTAAAGCTAGATCAGAGAGTAGTTCTAATTTGATATTGTAGCACATTACATAATAACTAATTAAATAAATTATTGACATCAACTATACATATGTGTTTGCGCGTCTTGTGTGTGCTTGTGTGGACATGTTTGTGTACTTGCGCGTGAAAGTGCGTGTATATTCAATAAAGATTAGAAGCCTATCCAACTTACACGTTAGCTGTTGTCAAAGAAGCGACACAAAACACGGATATTAGTATTAGGTTGTTCATCCTGCGGCGCTATCCTGTGAAATAGATTACAGATAGGCTGACCCTAAATTTTCAATTGATGTAGTTGTAAACACGAATGTTGTTTGTGTGGGGATAAGGTAGGCTAAACGGTGTTTTAAAAAAACCGGGAGTGATCTCCCCTAAACTTTCTCAAATAGTCTTATATAATTTGGAATGTAGACATGATTTTTAATTACTTAAACTTTTAAAAATAGAATAGAATCTCATAGAAAAAAGAATTGCGCACCAAGCGAACGCCAAAACAAAATGTGCATAATAGTGCGCAATATTATTAGTACTTTATACATTTACATGCGTTTTTTGAGAAATCGGAAATAGCGTAAATTAGTACTTCCGGTCAACGGAAATTACTCAAAATTTGACAGTAGGTAGAGATTTAGATCTTTTACTTACATGTGAAATTTCATTTACCTATCTGAAATAGTACTCAAGTTATAGGCTTTTGAAAAATTCAAAGTAGAAAAAGTACCACTTTCGGTTATCGGAAATCGCTCAAAAGTTGATACGGATCTACGATTTTGATTAAATACTTATATATGAAATTTCATCAACCTAGCTGTAACGGTACTCAAGTAATCGTGTTTACACACAGACAGACAGACAGACATACGGACAAGATTGCAAAATTATGTTTTTCCATATCAGTGAAGTGTAAAACGTCGAGATTTGTAAAAATCTCGATTTTTTTTGCACGATTACAATACTTTCTCTATACTTCGTATATACGAGAAAGTAAAAATGATAAAATCAGAGTTTTATTGGAAGCCTTAGAGGCTAAACCCAGTGTGAAGGTAGGTGTTGACCATGGGGTTGACCACACAACCACTTCACATGAAAAACTCTACTTTATCTGCTACATATGGATTACTTAAACTACCAAAGAACATGACACGTAGACCGAGAAAAAACTTACCCAAACGTTATGTGATTGAACTGGCCTGTAGTAGTGAGCTCAATCGAGAGATTTACTGCCTTAAATACTTTACGGTGTATGACATTTTAATTGAGCTGTAATTATCAGAGGCGACGTTACTACATATAAAACGGGATTTCTTTACACAGTCCACCCATCTCTGACCCCATCCACCCATCTTTGACCTCATCCACCCATCTCTGACCTCATCCACCCATCTCTGACCTCATCCACCCATCTCTGACGTCATCCACCCATCTCTGACCCCATCCACCCATCTCTGACCCCATTCACCCATCTCTGACGTCATCCAACCATCCTTGACCTCATCCACCCATCCATGACCTCATCCACCCATCCATGACCCCATCCACCCATCTCTGACGTCATCCACCCATCCATGACCCCATCCACCCATCCATGACCTCATCCACTCATCCATCACCTCATCCACCCATCTCTGACCCCATCCACCCATCTCTGACCCCATCCACCCATCTCTGACCCCATCCACCCATCTCTGACGTCATCCACCCACCATGACCCCATCCACCCATCTCTGACGTCATCCACCCACCATGACCCCATCCACCCATCTCTGACGTCATCCACCCATCTCTGACGTCATCCACCCACCATGACCCCATCCACCCATCTCTGACGTCATCCACCCACCATGACCCCATCCACCCATCTCTGACGTCATCCACCCATCTCTGACGTCATCCACCCATCTCTGACGTCATTCACCCATCTCTGACGTCATCCACCCATCTCTGACCCCCATCTACCCATCTCTGACGTCATCCACCCATCCATGACCCCATCCTCCCATCTCTGACCCCATCCACCCATCTCTGACCCTGATAACAATATCCCTCCACATCTCCATATGCCAATAACAGCTTAAAACAACAACAACAGTGTGTCTACTTTCTGAATGTAATCGAACGTTTAAAAAGCCATTTAACCCCCACAGCATCCGCCTCTGAATATTCAATTTATATTTTGCATTAGATATTTGGTTTGCAATGAAATATGGACGTATTAACGAGTACTGTTTAAGGCACCTGTCAGCGTGCACAAATTAAACGGGATCATTCCGTTTTTATTCTACTGAGTGTCAAGGCCACCACTGACTATTAATTTTGAACAACAAAGTAATAAAAAAGCAAAACCTTGCTTTGAGTGGGTAGGGCAATATAAAATTTTTATTTAGACATGATTTAGCGGGGAATAATTTGTCAAACAAAAATGAGATGAAATTGTATTAAAATTTGGACGTTTGAGATTTGTATTGTGACGTTGTGTGTTGAAGCACGTTTAAACTTGTATGTTAGTCAGACCATCCACAAGCAAGGCCAGAAACGAGACACGAAAACTACAGCATTTTAAGCCTTTATTTTGTTAAACAAATAAAAATATCAAGATAATTTATTTTTTTATTCAAATATAAATAGTTTAAAGATTTATCTAGGCTTAGAAATAAACTATTCAAACCTGCAAGGTTGTTGCAGAGCCTTAATGTTTTGTTAAGAATGGCCAAACGGATTTAATTTTGGCTCACTTATGCCTAGTATAATATTTAAATGTATAGTTACGTGTTGTGCCTAAAAAAAGTTTCAATAAATTTAAAAATAGAATCTACATTCAAGTCAGCTTCTGAAAAGTTACAAACGTTTTTCGAATTCTGA